ACACACACACACACACACACACACACACACACACACACACACACACAGAGTGAGTCACAACCCAGCACCCAGCGCAGAGGTGACACCAGGTGGGACAGGAGCCTGGAAGCTGGGGGTCTGCCAGCTCCTAAAAGCGTTCCTTGTCAGGGAGACAGAGCGCGCCAGCCCCTCAGAGCTTCTGGGGCCCCTTTCAACCACGTAGCTGCTGGGCCAGTCCTGGGGGGAAGGGCTGGGGCGGGGGCTGGAACTGGGGCTAGGCTGGGGGCCAGGTGGTCCCGCCTGCTCTAAACTTGGCCTGGAGGAGCCAGTCTGGGCTCTCGTCCTCCAGCTGTGTCATCAGAGAATATTTTGGGGATTGGCAGCTGCAGGCGCCTCTGCCACTCAGGCCCAAGCCTGGCGGGCGGCTGGGGACCTGGCGGCTGGAGGTGGGAGGGAGGAGGGGAAAGAGGCCCTGGCTGTGGGAGGGGGCTGGGAAGACTTGGCTCTCCGGAGCAGGAAGCCAGGCCGCAGGCAGGGGAGTCTGAGGGGCCCCTCGCTGGGGAGGCAAACAGGAAGGACTGCCCCCTGAGCCCTGGGCCCCGGCCCGGGAATCGCCGCCGCCAGAGCCGCAGCTCCGGGCCGAGGGTAAGGAGGGGAACCGGGAGCGGGCGGCCAGGGGAAAGCTCCGCGAGTCCCGGCGCCCGGTCCCCAAACGCGCCCCGCCTCCCGGGCCCCGCCGCCGCTCCCGGCCTTCCCCCGCGCCGCCGCGATGAAGGCGGGCTCGGGGGACCAGGGGAGCCCCCCGTGCTTCCTGCGCTTCCCGCGGCCCGTGCGGGTGGTAAGTGGCGCCGAGGCCGAGCTCAAGTGCGTGGTGCTGGGGGAGCCGCCGCCCATTGTCGTATGGGAGAAGGGCGGGCAGCAGCTGGCGGCCTCGGAGCGCCTGAGCTTCCCGGCGGACGGCGCCGAGCACGGCCTGCTGCTGAGCGGCGCGCTGCCCACCGACGCGGGGGTCTATGTGTGCCGCGCCCGCAATGCGGCCGGAGAGGCCTACGCGGCGGCCGCCGTCACCGTGCTGGAGCCGCCGGCCCCCGAGCGCGAGCCCCAGCCTGCCGAACGCCCGCGGCCGCCGCCCGGGGCCGGGGAGGGCGCCCCGGTGTTCCTGACGGGGCCCCGGTCCCAGTGGGTGCTGCGGGGGGCGGAGGTGGTGCTGGAGTGCCAGGTGGGGGGCCTCCCCGTGCCAACGCTGTACTGGGAGAAGGACGGGATGGCGCTGGACGAAGTGTGGGACAGTAGCCACTTCTCCCTCGAACCTGGCCGCGCCGAGGGCCGCCCGGGCGCGAGCCTGGCGCTGCGCATCCTGGCGGCGCGGCTGCCCGACTCCGGCGTCTACGTGTGCCACGCCCGCAACGCGCACGGCCACGCGCGGGCCGGCGCGCTGCTGCAAGTGCAGCAGCCCCCCGAGAGCCCGCCGGAGGACCCGGACGAGGCCCCGAACCCCGTGGTGGAGCCGCTCAAGTGCGCGCCCAAGACCTTCTGGGTGAACGAGGGCAAGCACGCCAAGTTCCGCTGCTACGTGATGGGCAAGCCCGAGCCCGAGATCGAATGGCACTGGGAGGGCCACCCGCTGCTCCCTGACCGCCGCCGCCTCATGTACCGCGACCGCGATGGCGGCTTCGTGCTCAAGGTGCTCTACTGCCAGGCCAAGGATCGCGGGCTCTACGTGTGTGCCGCGCGCAACTCGGCGGGCCAGACGCTCAGTGCCGTGCAGCTGCATGTTAAAGGTACCGCGGCGCCCCCGGGCGGCCGGGGCCCTGGGGAGGGGCCTCCAGCTCCCTCCCAGACCCTCCTAACTCCAGCCCCACTCAGTGTCCAGAAGACGGTGGGGAGTAAGGGAGGCTAAGTATTAAAATGCCATTTCCCGCCCACCTCGCAACCCCCAGGGATTCGGATTTAGTAGGTCTGCAGGGTACCTACTCCAGGAACTTCTTAGCAAGCTCCCCAAATGATTCTGAGGCAGATGGTGGAAAACCACTCTTAGATAAAGGACTTTAAGGAATGATTCATGTACAGACCCAGAGGGACCTACAACTCCTGTAGTTCACTGTTTTTCAACCTCTTTGTTATTTCACCAACCTGTCCCCGGATGGAAATCCCATCTGGGGCCCCAATAAATAAGACAGATAAAAAGATCATTTTGTGGGTGTAAACTTCTAAATCCAAATTTATAACATGTACTTATAAAGTCAGTCAGTGAGAACAAGGGGTCTATTTTATTGAATATACACATTTGAACCACACATAACTGGGTCTAGTCTGTGAGCCCTATGGGGAAGGCCTGGTTGCAGGTGTCACATTGAGAAATTCCTGATTCGCACCAAAGGGAGAAAAAAAAAATGCCCCGCAATTTTTGACTATTCACTCATTAGACTGCTCTCAGGTTTGCAAGAAGAAGAAGGTGAAGGAGAGGAAATTTATATATCAAAGTTGAGTCCCCAACAGTATTTAATAACTGCTTACATTGCTCATAAATAGAAAATTCAGGGAGGGAAAACACCCCAAACTCACACTGGAAGTTAAAGCTCTCCGTAATAGGAGTTCATCACAACTCATGACATTATACCCTCACTAGTTATTACCCAACTTGTTCCCTCAGAGGAAAAAGAGTTGGCAAATCTCCTGACCCCTGCCTGGCACGCAGTGAAGCGTGTGGCACCTGTGCCACAGTGGTGGCCTCTTGGGTACAGTTTGAGGCGCACAAACTGGCCAGGCAGGGCTGAACTCTAACCCCCCGAGGAGAGAAAAGCCCCACATGATGACACAGCTTCCCAGAGCCGCATGACAAGACAGACGTGCTTCCCCAGCAGCCCAAGTGAGCCCACTGGCCGCTTCCATCATCCTGCTTTCTTTTTGTTAAATGCAGTTTTGAACGTGGTTAAAGTACTTCCAAAACGAAATTCAACTCAGACCTTTGCAGAATTGTGTGTGGTGCCTTTGAAGGGCCCCAGGGAACAATCTGAAAATCACTGATGTGGTCCAAGCCCTTCCATCCCTTTCTCCACTTTACGAGGAAAGAAACTGAGATCCAGGATCATGAAAATGGCCTTGGTCAAGGTGATGTGGCTAGCGAGTGTCAGGGTCAGATGAGAATATGGGTCCCCTGACTTCCCTTCTGGGGGTTTCTCTGATTTCACAATGACTGCTGGCTCTGGGAGAAGAGCAAATGGCCGGAGCTAATGTGGGTTTAGGCAGTAGGTGATGGGAGGAGAGTCTTTCTCCTGGTCGGGCCCTCTCCAGAGCCTTCTCTGGTCTCTCCCTTCTTCACAGAGCCTCGCCTCCGCTTCACGAGGCCCCTGCAGGACGTGGAGGGCCGGGAGCATGGGATTGTGGTGCTGGAGTGTAAAGTCCCCAACTCCCGCATTCCCACGGCCTGGTTCCGCGAGGACCAGCGGCTGCTGCCCTGCCGCAAGTACGAGCAGATCGAGGAGGGCACGGTCCGGCGCCTCATCATCCACAGGCTGAAGGCAGATGACGATGGAGTTTACCTGTGCGAGATGCGCGGCCGGGTGCGCACCGTGGCCAATGTGACAGTCAAAGGTCGGCTGGCCAGTGGGAGGAGGCCGAGACCGAGGCAGGCAGATGCCCAGACCCCGGGCTGACGGACTCCCATCCGTGTCTCAGGGCCCATCCTGAAGCGGCTGCCCCGGAAGCTCGATGTTTTTGAGGGAGAGAACGCGGTGCTGCTGGTGGAGACCCGCGAGGCTGGGGTGGAAGGGCGCTGGAGTCGAGATGGGGAGGACCTGCCGGCCACCTGCCAGAGCAGCTCCGGCCACATGCATGCCCTGGTCCTGCCAGGGGTCACCCGAGAAGATGCTGGCGAGGTCACCTTCAGCCTGGGCAACTCCCGTACCACCACTCTGCTCAGAGTCAAATGTGAGGGCCTGAAAATCCCTAGGCAGCCTCCTCAAGGGCTGGACAGGAGGGTCAGGGCTGGAAGGTGATCAGATGCCACAGTCTGGGTTGGCAAAGTGGACTTAAGGTCAGAGGGCTGTGGGAGGCTGGCGCAGGGCTTGGACGCAAACCCTGCCTTTGTCTCAGGCGTCAAGCACAATCCCCCAGGACCCCCAGTGTTGGCAGAAATGTTCAAGGGCCACAAGAACACGGTCCTGCTGACCTGGAAGCCTCCCGAGCCAGCTCCCGAGACCCCCTTCATCTACCGGCTGGAACGGCAGGAGGTGGGCTCAGAAGACTGGATCCAGTGCTTCAGCATTGAGAAAGCTGGGGCCGTGGAGGTGCCGGGAGACTGTGTGCCCTCCGAGGGCGACTACCGCTTCCGCGTCTGCACCGTCAGCGAACACGGCCGCAGCTCCCATGTCGTGTTCCATGGGTCTGCTCACCTCGGTGAGTCGGTCCCGCCAGCCCAGGCTGACAACCGCTGCACCCCAAGTCACACCCTCCCCATCACCTTCCTCCCTTCCCTGGCCCTCAGTCCCTGTCCTGTTATATGCCTTCTACCTGCCAGTCTCTGCCCTCTGCCCCCTGGTTCTGATGGCCGAACTCTGTCCCATCTCAGTGCCCACAGCTCGCCTGGTGGCCGGTCTGGACGACGTGCAGGTATATGACGGGGAAGATGCCGTCTTCTCCCTCGATCTCTCCACCATCATCCAGGGCACCTGGTTCCTTAATGGGGAAGAGCTCAAGAGTAATGAGCCAGAGGGCCAGGTAGAGCCTGGGGCCCTGCGGTACCAGATGGAGCACAAGGGCCTGCAGCACAGACTCATCCTGCAAGCTGTCAGGCACCAGGACAGCGGGGCCCTGGTTGGCTTCAGCTGCCCAGGTGTGCAGGACTCGGCTGCCCTCACCATCCAAGGTTCGTGCAGGTGGGGACCAGGGTGGGCAGAGAGGGTCAAGACACAGAAGTCCCGTTAGCACAATGAGACAGATGCTATTGCTGCTTCTCACACCTGGGCCAGGAGAGTAAGGGGCATCCATGGTGAGCTAGCTCAGGTAGAGGGCTCAGTGATCCCAAGGTTCAGTTTCAACTCGTGCGCAACATATGGGGGACCCCTGGTTATCCAGCATCATAGCGAAATTCTCTGGGGCACTTTGTGCAGGGTTCTGTCATGTGTGTCATCTCAGAGACACAGACCTCGGCTCCGGGTCCCTGACTGCTTCCTGCCCTATCGCGTAATGGCTGACGCTATCGGAGCAACTCTCTGTGTGCCAGGCACAATCCTACATCGCTTTGTATATGTTAATTAGCACAATCCTCTCAACAGCCCTACAGGATGGGTTCTTTTGTCATTCCGTTTTACAAGTGGGGAAACTGAGGCACAGAGAAGTTCAGTGACTTGCCCAAAGTCACAGAGCTAACGAGTGCTGGTGCTGGATTATGAACCCAGGCGGTCTGGCTTCAGAATCACACTCTGCCACCTGGGGAAAGAGGGCAGGAGAGGGAATGAGGCCTCCCCGAGGACGACAGATCTTGGTGGGGGTCTGAAAGTGCAGGGAACATGCTGGCATTTGCCATTGCACCATTGCTGGAGTTTGTACGACCAGTCAAGGAATTCCTCAGTGCCCAAGTGCAGGGCCTTGAGGTGGTTAGCTGCCAGCATCCCAAGAGGAGGACAAAGTGAGAAATAACCAGCAACCAGAGCAGCGTTTCTAAAGTGCAACCCAGGTTCACTAACATCAGAGTCATGTGGAGGCTGGTCTATAATGCAGATTCCCGGGCCCCTGCACGCTTGGGGGGAGGAGCCTAAGAATCTGCATTTTCAGCAGGCTCCCTGGGAATTCTTATGCACACTAAAACCACTGCTCTTAAGAGTTGGTCTTAAGCCTAAAACTTTTTTTTTTTTTTTTTTTGTCTGCGCCATGCGGCATGCGGGATTTTAGTTCCCCGACCAGGGACTGAACCCGTGACCCCTGCATTGGGAGCGTGGAGTCTTAACCACTGGACCACCAGGGAAGTCCCAGCCCAAAACTAATTTTTAAAACCAGCAAATGCATCGATGGCAATCATCCAGCCTGATGTGCCCACCCCCCTACCCTGAGCACATACCCTGGAGTGGGGTGTTTATAGGGGTAGCAGAGCACAACTAGGGTGCCGCACATGACCACACCTCTCCCCAAGCAGAGAGCCCGGTGCACATCCTGAGCCCCCAGGACAAGGTGTCGTTGACCTTCACAACCTCGGAGCGGGTGGTACTGACCTGTGAGCTCTCCCGGGTGGACTTCCCAGCGAGCTGGTACAAGGACGGGCAGAAGGTGGAGGAGAGCGAGTCGCTGGTGGTGAAGATGGATGGGCGCAAACACCGCCTGATCATGCCTGAGGCCCAGGTCCAGGACAGTGGCGAGTTTGAGTGCAGAACGGAAGGGGTCTCAGCCTTCTTCAGCGTCTCCGTCCAAGGTCAGGGACCGTGGCGGCCTGGGCTCCCCCAAGCTGAGGCTGACCCTGGGGGCTGTGTGAACCCTGCCCCCCTGGTCTGCCTGCTTGGGGGTCCCTTCCGAAGGGCCCTAGGGGGCAAGGGGACATGTTTGCAGATCACACTGCCCATGCACCACCCTCCAGCACACTTGGCCCCCATGTAGCCTTTGCTGGTGGGAAAGTGGGGGGGCCTCAGTTCAATTAAGGGAAGGGAGGTGGGAGCTAACATTTGTTGGGCACCTACTAGCCAGTTCCTATGCTGTATACTTCAGATGTACACTTGCATTCAGTGTTCACAACTATGTGAGGGGCAGTACAGCTCCATTCACAGATGAAGCAGCTGAGGTTTAGAGAGGTTATGCAACTTGCTCATGATCACACGGCAGCAAATACCCTGGCTGGGTTCACACCCAGGACTGCCTATCCCACTGCCCCAGGCGGCCAGGGTCAAAAGGAAGTTTTAGGTGCAGTGGTCCAGAGGCTCTCAGAAGCCAGTACATGTCTGGCTGCTTCGGAACCACCCTGGAAGCCGTAAGTGCATAGGCTCCCCCAGGCCTCCAGAGCCAGAATATCCAGGACAGAGCCTGGAGATCCACTCTGGGAGAACAACTCAGGAACCACTGATCCAGCTCCATCTTCCCACTTTGAGTGGCCCCATTGCCAGAAGGTCCTCTGGCCCCTGCCTGAATGTACCAGTGATAGGGAGCGCTGCCTCACGATATCACCACTAAATTGTTCCCACCTCTTCCCCGTCCTGCGATCAGCCCTCTGGGGGCTTCCTTGAAAAAGCAGCAAGTACGGCCCTGATGTGACCTCCTCTCAGCCTAGACAAAGCCCTCTGTGTCCCCAGCCAACCCCCTCTGATCCTCTGGGAACTCACAGAGCCCTCCAGTGCCATGTGATCTGTCACACCTCACCCGCCACGCCCTCAGTCGTCCGTGTCATTGCCCCAGAGCACCCCACCCCAGCCAAGCAGCCAGTGTGCACTCATGTCTCCTGTTTTGGGGTGTCTGTGTGACCCCATCTCTGCTCCCCCCAGACCCCCCCGTGCACATCCTGGATCCCCGGGAGCACGTGTTTGTGCACGCCATAACCTCCGAGTGCGTCATGCTGACCTGTGAGGTGGACCGGGAGGACGCCCCCGTGCACTGGTACAAGGACGGGCAGGAGGTAGAAGAGAGCGACTTCGTGGTGCTGGAGAACGAGGGGCCCCATCACCGCCTGGTGCTGCCCGCCGCCCAGCCTCCAGATGGGGGCGAGTTCCAGTGCGTCGCTGGGGACGAGCGCGCCTACTTCACTGTGACCATCACAGGTGGGGCTCCAGGCAGTCCACAGGAGGGGGACGGTGTGCCCTGCCCCTGCCTGGGCAGCTGGTACACTCCTGGGCCACTGTTCCCAGCCCCTGCTTCCCTTCCCCTAGCTTTCTCCCCAAACCAGGCTCTGCACCCTGAGGTTCAGTCACCCGCAGAAAATGCGTTGTCATAAACACACCAGTCACAGCTACATCAGTCAAAGGAAAGCCTGCCTTCTCTGTTCTGAAGATCTTCCAAGGGGAGCTTTAGGGGTGGCAGTGCTACCACAGGGCAGGGTCTAGGGTGGGTGCGCCCAGGCACTAGAGGGGTCAGAAGGTCTGAGGCCTGCAGGAGACCCCAGCTCCATCTGGGCACCCAACCCTCCTCTCCCCAGTCCTACCCTTCGTATTGTCCCTGTCCCAACCCAGAGAATGTAAAGAGTTTCTACAGCCGAGGCTGACACCACAGTCCCCACTGTGCCACCGTGCCCCAACTGTGACTGACTGTCCGAGCAGCTGTGAGCCATGGTCCGAGGGAAGACCCTCTTCTTCAACACACAGCCCACCTTCCAGGAGTAGGGAACAGGCGTGGACCAGGTGGGGCAGCCAGGCACCTCGGCCCCAGCCCCTGACGTCCGGCCACAGCTGTCCCTGTCCTCCAGATGTCTCCTCGTGGATCGTGTATCCCAGCGGCAAGGTGTACGTGGCAGCCGTGCGCCTGGAGCGTGTGGTGCTGACCTGCGAGCTCTGCCGGCCCTGGGCCGAGGTGCGCTGGACCAAGGATGGCGAAGAGGTGGTGGAGAGTCCCGCGCTGCTCCTGCAGAAGGAGGACACCGTCCGCCGCCTGGTGCTGCCCGCCGTCCAGCTGGAGGACTCGGGCGAGTACTTGTGTGAAATCGATGACGAGTCTGCCTCTTTCACCGTCACTGTCACAGGTGTGGGCCCACCCCAGCTGCCCGCGGTCACCAGAGGACAGTCCTGAGCCCTTGCGGGAGCTGGCCACATAGCCCCTAGCTAGCATGTGGGGGAGGGGGGAGGGGGGCTGCAGGTGCATGGACCAGGGGGCCCTGCCCGGAAGACCCCAGGGTCTGTGTTTGAATAAGCAGGCTCCTCCCCGGCGCCCAGGGCCAGGAATAGCTATCCTCCACCGGCTCATTTACTGAGCACTTTCTACGTGTCAGGTACTGGGCCAGGTGCTGCAGGTCACTGGTGCGTATTGCAGACGTGGTCCCTTCTCCCAGCTACCAGAGAGCTGGGGAGTCAGCCGTTAACCAGGGGTCGCAAACGGGCAGTCCCTAGGGCCCCATACAGCCCACAGATATGTTTTGTTTGGCCTGCAGAGTCTTACCAAAGTCAGGACAGTTCAAATAACAACCCGGAGTTATGCGTCCTCTTGAAAAAGCCGAAGACCCGGCGCCTCTGGTCCCGCTTCCCCCCTTGGCGACGAACAGCTGGCGCTGAGTAGCAGCTGCCCCTGTAACACGGGGCCCACATTCCTCTGTCCCACCCTGCCCGCTGTTCCTTTTTGCTCCCCCCAGACCACTTCAGCCACTGACCTTACCTTACCTGGCCCCCGTGGGCATTTGAGTTTGCGACCCCTGTGTTTAACCAATAAACACGCAAATAAATGTACGGCGACACCTCGTGACAAGTGCTGTGAGGGGTGAGGTCTCGAGAGCAGGAGGTCAGGGAGGGCCTCGGGGAAAGTCGGTCGCCGTGCCACCCGGGGTGGGCTCCGGACGGCCACTCAGCAGACGCACGCGCGCATGTCCCTCCGGGAGTGCACAGACTGGCAGGAGAGCCGGGCACATTAGAGGGTCTCAGAGTGAGGGTTGCCGGGTGTCGTGATAGGGTGCAGTGGGTACCCAAAGCTGGGGGCTGCTGACCTGGTTGGCAGGCAGGAGTGCCTTCGAAGTGGCCATCTGGAGCAGCGGCCGAGTTAGCTAAGTGGGGGTCAGGGTTTGGGCTGAAGGTGGGGGGAGAATGTTCCAATCGGGAAAGCACAGGAGGACTCTGGAAGTGACGGTTCAGTGCCAGAAACTTTGGGACTGCAGCCCACAGCGCCAATCCCAGCGTGTGTGAGGGGGATGGGGAGGGTGGGACCTAGGCAGCTCTGGGCGGCACAGAAGAACCCACTGGCTGCACTGGAGCGACCATCCTGATGCTGGCATCATCTGGTTACCCTGCCCTGTCCCTGCCCTGCCCTAGGAACAATGCTTCAGCCTAGGCTTGAGCTACTTAGGGCCCCCCGACTCCCTGCACCCCAGAAGCACACAAGTCACAAAGCCGAAGAGGCCTTTCTGCACACATTCTGTCCCGTAGTGAATCCCTTCAACCTCTCCCGCCCCAACCCCTGGCCAGACATAATGGCCGCAGACACACACATTCCAGCTCATAACTGGCCTCCCGCAAAACACCAGATTCTTCGTGAGAGGCTCACACAACACACCTTGTGTGGACCAGGAGAATCAAGTCTGATGCCAAGCTGTGGGCCACAGCTGTGCAGGCACCCCAGCCCCATGGCTGCACCCCATTCTCACTCCACTGCCTCCATCACCTCCCCCACCACTCAGGCAGCCACACTCTGCAATCTACTGGTGGTGCTGGGCCTCAGAAAACCAGCCTGCATCCTGTAGACTCTTAGAATAAGCCCAGTTAGGGAGGAGGCGGAGGCAAGGGCTCAGTGTGCAGTGGTGGGTACATCTGCCCTTACACGCCTCTGCAAAGACCTAGACCAGGAAGCTAGCAGTTCCCCAGCCCAGCCACCAGGGGGCCAAATGCTAAAGGAACACGAAAGTGTGTGTCCTGGAGACTTGATTCTGGGAGACCTCCAAGGTACGTGAAAGCATGGGCAGACCCGGGCTCAGTGCACTGGTCACCACCAATATTGCCATGGCTCCTTTCTGTGAGAGACTGACCACTCCAGAGCAGCTGGAGATGAACTCCTAGAAACAGCATTTAATATCCCTGGGGAAATCTTAGGTGTTGACAACTCATGCACAGATGCAAAATTCATTACTGTTTCCTGCAAGCCTTGGCTTGGAGTCCTTACCACTGCTTGCAGAGTCTGACCCTCCCTTTATCAGATGGTAGTTCTTCCTCCTGCCCTTGAGTAGGTATAGCCAGCTATGACCATAAGGAAGTTGCTTAATCACACCATGCCTCAGTTGCCTCATCTGGGAAATGGGTATAAAATAATACCTACTCCTTAGGATTGCTACGAGGGTGTAAAGTGCTTATGACTGTTCCTGGAACTCTAGCAAGTTGCTATTACAAATCCACCATCCCTTATCCACAATTCTGAAATTAAAAAAAAAAACTGCTCAAAATCAAAAGGCTTTTTGTAAGTTTGGTATTAAAAGTCATTTCAGTAAAATCTGAACTTAACTCTGTGAAGCTATTTGTACTTTTTAAGTAGCCTGCTTAGGGTGAATCTGTATGTTACACTGCAGAAATGTTAATGTGATTGATTATGGGGGGACCACAGTGGGGGCTGGGGGCGGTAGGTGATGTATGATGAACGCACCATTTCTGGAATCGGAAGCATTGTGGATTCTGAAGCACTTCTGGCCCCAGGGATTTCAGAGAACAGATTTCGGGCCTATTATTATCCTTATTACTCTTATGATTGTGGGTGACCGGGGCTTCATGCTGCCAGATGGCTCCAGGGAGACTGACGGTGAGTTTGTGACAGGCTGTGGTTGTCCCCACTCTACAGAACCCCCGGTGCGCATCATACACCCCCGGGACGAGGTGACCTTGGTCGCCGTGAGCTTGGAGTGTGTGGTGCTGATGTGTGAGCTGTCGCGGGAGGACGCCCCCGTGCGCTGGTACAAGGATGGGCTGGAGGTGGAGGAGAGTGAGGCCCTGGTGCTGGAGAGTGATGGGCCCCGCCGCCGCCTGGTGCTGCCTGCTGCCCAGCCCGAGGACGGGGGCGAGTTCGTGTGCGACGCTGGAGACGACTCAGCCTTCTTCACTGTCACCGTCACAGGTGGGCGGTCTCTGGGACACCCTGGGGAGGAAAAGAGGCAGGAGGCTGAGGGACAGACACCCAACCCTCCCAGTTCTTGCACCTTCAGGGTCCCTGACTGCTGCACACGGCTCTCCCCTTGTCCAGCCTTCCCCCTCCCCCAGCCTCCTCATTCTCAGCCATTAGAGAGACCTGACTTGCCCAAATCATACCAGGACAATGACCAGAGACCTGGTGGAGAGAGCCCAGCAACCAAGAGCACTTATTCATTCACTTATTCAACCAATGCTGATGCGCTCGGCACTGTGCTGAGTGCTGAGGGTTACAGCAGTGAACCAAGGAGAGTTATTCATTCACTTATTCAACAAATGCTGATGCGCTCGGCACTGTTCTGAATGCCGAGGGATACAGCAGTGAACCAGGGAGAGAAAACCTGTCTCTATGGAGCTTGCCTTCTTGTGAGAGTGGACAGGCAGCAAATAAGGAAAATAGAGGGGTTTTGGGGGGTGATCGGAGGCAGAGCAGGCAAAGGGGATAGGAAGTGCGGGTGGGGTAGGGAGGGATGTGCATCGGGGTCAGACAGATGTGGCTGTGAGTGTGGGTCTACCTCTTTTTTTCCCGTGTGACCTAGAGCAAGTCAGTTCTCTATAAAGAGGCTTCAGGTCCTCATCTGTAAAGTGAAGCCAACAATAGGGAATGTCAGGAGTAGCTGAGCAAAGAGCTGCAGTGCGCTTAGCACAACACCTGGCACACGGTGAGTGCCCACGGATTGTAGGTGGCACCGTTCCCAAGAGCTGCCCTGCAAAGGGCTGAGAATCCAGTGGGGAGGCAGGTAGAGGCCTGCTGGCCGAGCCCACTCTCCCCTCTCTCTATCCACCCACCAGCCACTCCAGAGAGGATTGTGCACCCGGCGGCCCGCTCCCTGGACCTGCAGTTCGGGGTTCCAGGGCGCGTGGAGCTGCGCTGCGAGGTGGCCCCGGCTGGGTCCCAGGTGCGCTGGTACAAGGATGGGCTGGAGGTGGACGCATCAGATGCCCTGCAGCTGGGTGCCAAGGGGCCCGCTCGCACCCTGACCCTGCCCCACGCCCAGCCTGAGGATGCCGGGGAGTATGTGTGTGAGACTCGTGATGAAGCCGTCACCTTCAACGTCAGCCTGACTGGTGGGTGCTCCCGGCCAGCCAAGGTGCGGGAGGTGGGAGCATCACCGAGCTGATACCTCTCCTCTCTGTCCAGAGCCCCCCGTCCAGTTCCTTGCGCCAGAGGCGGCCCCCAGCCCGCTCTGCGTGGCCCCCGGCGAGCCGCTGGTGCTGAGCTGTGAACTGTCCCGGGCTGGCGCCCTCGTCTTCTGGAGCCACAACGGGAGGCCGGTGCAGGAGGGTGAGGGCCTGGAGCTCCAAGCCGAGGGCCCCCGCCGTATCCTCTGCATCCGGGCTGCAGACCCGGTCCATGCCGGCCTCTACACCTGCCAGGCAGGGGCAGCCCCGGGGGCGCCCAGCCTCAGCTTCACCGTCCAAGTGGCTGGTGAGTATAGCCCGGGCAGGAAGCCTGAGAGTCGCACCCCGAAACCCATGAGTCTCCCCCTTCTCTAGCACACCTGGCCCACCCCCTGCCCCACTGCTTTCGGTCCCTTTCCCTGTCTTGCCTCCCACTGCCCTCCTCCCAGCCCACGAGCCACTCCCTCCTGGTGACCTCCGGCTCTGAGCCCACAGAGCCCCCCGTGCGGGTGGTGGACCCCGAGGCAGCCCAGACGAGGGTTCGCAGCACACCAGGCGGGGACCTGGAGCTGGTGGTGCACCTCTCCGGGCCGGGAGGCCCTGTGCGCTGGTACAAGGACGGGGAGCGCCTGGCAAGCCAGGGGCGGGTGCAGCTGGAGCAGGACGGGGCAAGGCAGGTGCTGCGGGTGCAGAGGGCCCGGAGCAGGGATGCCGGGGAGTACCTGTGCGACACGCCCCAGGACAGCCGCATCTTCCTCGTCAGCGTGGAAGGTAACAGTGCACCACTCACACCCCAAGGGCCACACGCCTGAACCACTCTGGGCCCCCGTGCCCCGACCCCACCTCTCTGCCTCTGGCTCCAACCCATGCATGTGTGACTATTCCTGGGATGAGGGCTCAGGGCTCCCTTTTCCAGGAACCCTCAAATAATAGGAGGGGCACGGACCAGTGGTTAAAAGCAGGGCTCTGGAGTCAGCGCCACCCACACCAGTTTCCAATCTGGATTCTGCTTCCCAGTAGTTGTGTGACACTGGCAACTTACTTAAACTCTCTGAGCCCCAGCTCCAAAGTGGAGGGAATATGTTTGTCCTATAGGGCTGTTGTGACAGTTAAATGAGATAAATTGGGTCCATAGTAAATGACCTACTATTACTAGGGAGTCAGAGAGGTGGGTGCCAGGCCAGCAGTGGGTGGAAGTGGCTAGGAGTAGCAGGGCGTTGACGTCTTGTCCTTTGAAACACCTCATGGCTGACACACAGTAGGTCCTCAGGAAGGTTCTGTTCAATAACTGGAGGATGAGGGCCTGTTACTGGAGGTGAGGGGATGCAAAGGGGATGAGGAGGAGGGAGGCGGAAAGACCCAGCCCACCTCACTGCCTGACCCCACCCCCAGAACCACCGCCGGTGAAGCTGGTCTCAGGGCTGACACCACTCACTGTCCACGAGGGTGATGATGCCACGTTCCGGTGTGAAGTCTCCCCACCGGACGCCGACGTCACTTGGCTGCACAATGGGGCCATTGTCACCCCAGGGCCCCAGCTAGAGGTGGCCCAGAATGGCTCAAGCCGCATATTGACCGTGCGAGGCTGCCAGCTCGAGGACGCGGGGACCGTGACTGCCCAAGCAGGGGGCACATCCACAAGTGCCCGGCTCCACGTTCGAGGTTTGGTCCTGATGGAGACACAATAGTCTTGTTCCTGAACCTATTCTCCCAGCCCCAGCCATGACAGGGGACAGATCCCTGAGAGGGAGCAGGGGGTCAGCCCACCAGGCTCCACGGCCCCCTCTCTCTTTCTCCCCAGAGACGGAGCTGCTGTTCCTGCGGCGGCTGCAGGACGTGCGGGCAGAGGAAGGCCAGGACGTGTGCCTCGAAGTAGAGACAGGCCGAGTGGGTGCGGCAGGGGCCGTGCGCTGGGTGCGAGGTGGGGCACCCCTACCACCCGACTCCCGCCTGTCCACGGCCCAGGATGGCCACATCTACCGCCTCTTCATCCACGGTGTCGTACTGGCCGACCAGGGCACCTACGGCTGCGAGAGCCACCACGATCGCACCCTGGCCAGGCTCAGCGTGAAGCGTGAGTGCCCCGTCCTCTCCTAACACATCGCCCGCCCCGTGGCACAGTCTCTCCTGGCTGGCCCAGGGCCCCTCAGACCCCCACCAAAGTGCCCCTCGCCACAAGGCAAGTCAGCCCTGGCTGACCCCCAGGAGTGTGACCTGAAGCAGCCTGCCCAAAGCAAAACTCTTCTTTTGCTAATGTTTTCTATTTACCTTAGAAGTCCATGTGGATTTTGCATTCCATTTCGTATGTCCAAGTTGGCTTTGCTATAAACGTAAATATTATACTCCAGAAAGACTTGCCGTGTTTATCCTTCAGTCACCTGCCCCGGGATACATGGGCCCAGCTGAGAAGTAGGGATGGGTGGCAAATAGCACCCACTCCCCCAAGATGGTGTGGTATTAACTGTGTGACCTCATGCAAATTACTTACCTCTCTGAGCCAAGTTTTCTTTAAAAAGGGTCTTTGGGAACATTGACTGGGATAATATGAGAAATACCCACAGAGAGCTTGGTAAATGGTTGTTGGTGGTGTGTATACTCTTCTAATTTATTTCATTCATTTAATCACAATAAACCCATGTCTCAATGCTATTAACCTTGTATAGCTGGAGAAACTGAGGCCCAGAGAGGTCAAGCAATTTGCCAAAGGTTACACAGCACACAAACTATGTGGCAGGGTCCAGTCCTGGTGTGTCTGACTTCAAATTCTGTGCTTCTTCCAGTGTCACAGCACCCCTTACCCAAACTCCTCACCCCCCTAACCACACATCACCCCCTTCATGTATCTCCTCTCCTAACCCTAGTAAGCCCCTCTCTCCACCCAAGTCTGAATGGCTCTGCTCCCTTCTTCCTGCACCCTGGTTCTGAACTTAGTTCTATAAGGCCTTACAAGGTTGGGTGTTAGGGGTGGTGCCGGCAGAGCCAAGGTGTGTGTGGCAGGGGGGGGGGAGGGGGGAGGGGGGCCCGAAAGCCCCGCCCAGATTTGGAGCCCTCATCCTCCCTCTTCCCCCATCTCCTCCCACTAGCAAGGCAGCTAAGGGTGCTGCGGCCTCTGGAGGATGTGACCGTCATCGAGGGGGGCAGTGCCACCTTCCAGCTGGAGCTGTCCCAGGAGGATGTGACCGGGGAGTGGGCCCGGGGTGGAGTCCGGCTGCAGCCGGGGACCACGTGCCAAATTCACGCAGAGGGCCACGCTCACTGCCTGGTACTCAGTGGCCTGGGCCTGGCCGACTCGGGCTGCATCTCCTTCACTGCGGATGCCCTGCGCTGTGCAGCCAGACTCACTGTGAGAGGTGCGGCCTCTGGAACCGCTGCCTGCCTGCTGACAGCTCTGGGTGTGATTCTACCGATCCCACTACCCGTGTGGCCCTCACTGACCTCCCTGCCAGAGTTTGACTCCCCTGACCCTTTGGCCATGTGTGGCTCCAGTGAGTGCCCTGCCTGAGTGTGTCTCCACCAACCCCCCCGTCCCAATGGACCACTGACTGTGCTGCTGTGAGGTGCTTGTGCCGGTGTGGTGTCTGTCTGCCTGACCATGGCCCTGCTGGCCACTCTGAGTGTGAGCCCACTGACCACGCCTGCCTGCTGCAGCCCCCTCTGCCTGTCTGAGTGTGCCCCTCTCACCACCCAAGTCCCAACAATCCACTGTCTATGCCAAAGGGTGACTCCACTGGCAACTCTGTTTCAGTGTCCCCCATTTTTGTTTGCAGCCCTGGTCTGTTCCCCACCGACCACATCTGCTCTAGGGTTCCCCCATTGCTCCTGTGAGCCCATGGTGTCCCCCACTGGCCAGTGTCTCCTGTCCATTCCAGCCAGTGTGGCCCCCACTGACCACGTTTGCCTATGGGTAGCTCCACTGGCATCTCTGCTCCAGTTTCCACTATGCCCCTCTAGCCCCAGCATGTCCCCCCCACTGACCACCTTAAATGTGAACAACCCCCAGCAGGCCATTCCTACCCTGTTGACCCCTCTGATACCGCTGTGTCCCCCACTGACCAGCATCCCCTTTGGACCACTTTGTCCCAGCATGCGCTCCACTCACTGGTGGCCTCTGTTGATCACCTTGTCTAAATGTGCCCACCAGTGACCCCTTGTGCCCAATGTGTCTGCCTTCTCCCACTCCCAGAGGCCCCAGTGACCATTGTGCGGGGGCCACAGGACCTAGAAGTGACCGAGGGTGACACAGCTACTTTCGAGTGTGAACTTTCCCAGGCCTTGGCTGATGTCACCTGGGAGAAGGTCAGAGCCCAGCCCCAGCCCAGCCCACCTCGGCATCATAACATCAATAACAAACCCCAACAGAAATAACTAATACTCACTGAGCCATGCGCCTGGCATTGTGCTAAGATTTACTCTACATTTGATCCTCTAAACCTTACAGCAGCCCTATGAGGCAGGTCTTATTATCTCCATGTTATCTGTAAGGAGACTGATGCGCAGTGGGGTGAAGTATTGCCCAGGGGCAGACGTAGAGCCCATATTTGAATCCAGGTTTCCTGGTCCAGAATCCACACGCATGGCTGGTATGAGCAGTACATGACTCTAGGCTTCCCGCGCCCGTGGCTCCGTTCTCAGCCCTAACGTACCCAAAGGGTGACACCTTCCCAATGAGACTCCTGGCGAGGTCCCGGAAGGCGCAGGGCGGCCCTGCTCCACAGCATAAACGTGCCTCGAAACCGCTTGGCACAAACAGAGGGAGCGGCCGCCTACGAGGAGGGCAGGGGCCGTTTGTGCCCAGACGAGCTTTCACCGCGACCCTTTGCAACTCCCGCCCCCAGGACGGGCAACCGCTCACCCCCAGCCCTCGGCTCAGACTCCAGGCCCTCGGCACCCGCCGCCTTCTCCAGCTGCGGCGCTGCGGTCCCTTGGACGCCGGGACCTACAGCTGCGTGGTGGGGATGGCCCGAGCCGGGCCCGTCCACCTGGTGGTTCGCGGTGGGTACCGGGCGCTGCCCGGGCGGGGCACTGCTATGGGTGCGGGGTCTGCGGACCGGACTTGCCCCGGGGTCCTGCTCTGGGGCGTCTAAGGAGGGGAGCAGGGGGCGAGGGCGGGGCAGGGTACCGCCCCCTCCGCTCCGCCCCGCCCCCCTCACGGCCCCGGCTCCGCCCCAGAGCGCAAGGTGTCTGTCCTCTCCGAGCTTCTGTCGGTGCGCGCCCGCGAAGGCGACGGAGCCACGTTCGAGTGCACCGTGTCGGAGGTCGAGCCAACCGGGAGCTGGGAGCTCGGAGGCCGCCCGCTGAGACCCGGAGGCCGCGTCCGCATCCGACAGGAAGGTCTGACCGACTTTCTACCTGCTCTGGCCCCTCGCTGCCCCGCCCTACCAGGATAAGTCCCACCTCCAGGTCAAATGGGTCCCGCCCCACGGCCCAAGGAGCAGTCTCTCGATCTCTCCCTGGCCCCCAGCTCTGAGCCCTCGGTCCTGGACCTCCCCTCTTACCCCTCGGCATCTCAATTCCGCCCCGCCCAGCGCACATTTACCGCGTCCGAACCGACCCGGGGACCTACTCTGGCCCCACCCTCATCCCCGAACCCTCCCCAGAGGCGGCTCCGGCCTCGCTAGCGCCCCCTTCACCCCCAGGGAAGAAACACATTCTGGTGCTGAGCGTGCTGCGCGCGGAGGACACTGGTGAGGTCCGCTTCCAGGCGGGACCCGCCCAGTCCGTGGCTCAGCTGGAGGTGGAGGGTAAGCAACTGGGGCATGGACGACCTGGAGTGAACACTGTCTACCCCTGGAACTGGCAAGCTGGCAGCTGGTCCGAGGAACCCTACCTTCCCCACCCCTTCCTCCCGGGGCTCTCCGGGGGCGGATCACAGAGAGCAGTGTATTTCCTGGGGAGCAGGAGACTTTGGGTTGAGGGTAGAGAGAAACGGGGTGGTGGCATAGAGGTCTAAGACCAGGAGTGGAGGCCACAGCGGGAGGGAAGATGCGTCTCTCCTCCTGGAACCCAGCGTGTCCCTATTAAGCCCTCATCCTCCACCCCCAGCATTCCCTCTCCAGATATGCCGCCGCCCCCCTCGCGAGAAGACAGTTCTGGTCGGCCGCCGGGCGGTGCTGGAGGTGACTGTGTCCCGCTCGGGGGGCCAAGTGTGCTGGTTGCGGGAGGGGGTCGCGCTGTGCCCGGGAGACAAGTACGAGCTGCGCAGTCATGGCCACACCCACAGCCTGGTCATCCATGACGTGCGACCTGAGGACCAGGGCACCTACTGCTGCCAGGCCGGCCAGGACAGCGCCCACACACGGCTGCTGGTAGAGGGTGAGTAAAGCCGACGGGGCAGAGGTCAGAAAGGCAGGCCGGCTGGCCAGGGGTCTCCTAGGAGCTGGTGGGCTGAGACACACCTCCTGCAGATTTTCCAAGACTTGGGAAGGCAAGCTGGTTCTGAGATGTGTTGGAGGTGTGGAATGGGGAGGTGGGAGTTCACAGCCAGGGCTGAGGAGAGGAGGGAGTCCCGTGTTCTCAACAGGAACCACTTGGTTCAGGGCAGCTGTTTCCACCTTTCTACACCCCTTCCTGTCCGAGCTTCTCCTTACTCCCTCCTGCCTCTGGACCATGTTTGTCTCTCCTGAATGCCCCATTTGTACCCAAGTTCCTCTCCTTCCCACCTACCAGCCCCTGGTCTGTGCCCCCCGCCTGTCCCTCATCCTCTCCTGCTCTCTGCCCAGCTGGCTCCTGCCCATCTCAGCAAGCTGCGCTCCGCCTGGGCAGAGGGCTTCTGCTAGTCCCATTTCTTTCCTCTTCCACTTAGGAGGTGCCCCCCTCTCCACCTGAACTCCTGTGTTCCCTTCAGGTGCCTACCTTTCCCCACCTCTGACTGGCCACCCTCACTTTCCTGCCCCCACAGACAGCCCTGACAGAGGCCTAGAAAGGGTGGTTCAGAGGGTGAGGGCCCAGCTCTTGCTGTGTGGGTGCCCAGGCTCTGCCAGGGGAGAGGATTGTGGTGCCCACTGTCTCCCCAGCCCCACTCACAGTCATTCCTCCGCAGGTAGCTAGGAGGACCGAACCAGGCCAGGCGGGTGCCCTCGGACAGCTTGGAAGGCGCATGCCCTTACCCTGGGAAGGGGTGGGGAGGGAGGGGAACCAGAGGTGTTGGGAGACAATAAAAGTGGTGCAGCCCCTTTCCTGGCTCTCTGTGTGACGTGGGAGGGCAGAACTTGCCTGGAGCCCCTGTACAGTGAGTGACACAGGGGACCAAGGGCTGCAGTGCTTCCATCTTGGCCCATGGAAGTACCAGCCACCAAAGACCACCACTCCTGGCAGAAGCCTCACAGTTTGGCACGTTTATAAAAGATGTCAAACAGGGTGGGGTGGGGGGGAGACAGAAGCATGAGGTGTCCAGGGTGGCATGACCGACACCAGACATGCACCGTGCATTGAAGCCCCTCCCCCAGCCCCCTGCCCTGACCCAGCCCAGAGCAGCACCCGCCCACCCCCATTCCCTGCCACTGCCCTCAGGCTGGTGGCTTGCAGAGGACAGGGGACCAGGGTGAGGGCTGCTGCAGTTTGCCCCACGGACAAAGACAAGAAGTCTTAGATGAGTCTGGCTAAGAGGTGGAGGCGATGGGGGAGGAAGGTAGACCTCCTCCACTTAGACATGCAGGAGAGTAGCCCATGGGACCCCAGGAGTGGGAGAGGAGGCAGGGCCACCCTCGGAGAAGCCCTACCAGTCAGAAATCTAAGGCAGGGGTCCCAGTGTCCTCTCCAAGCCCACCCCTCCACGCACGCACACACAGGCGACACACTCACAACCCTGAGCACACCCCAGCGGGGCTCACACTCGCGTCCCTCAGGAGCCCCTCGGGAGCTTGGGAGGAGGCTCTCCCCTCAGGCCAGGCAGCCTGAGATAGGTCCTCCCTTCTGGCGGCCAGGCCATCCCTCTCCGGGGTGGGGAAAGAGACAGCCAAAGGCCACAGGGCCAGGTGGACTGAGTCATGGCCCAGCGGGCCTCCCCAAGCTGGCAGAGCTGGTGACCGATGAGTGTAGGCGGGCAGGAGCAGAGAGACTGCTATACCCGCATGGGGGGCCCAGAGCAGGCCGTCAGCGGTCCCCGGGACCCGTACTCATAGTCCGCATCTGTGGGCGAGGCCATGAAGGAGCTCAGCGAGCTCCCTGTCTGCCGGTCCCGGAAGCTCTGGATGTAGCTCTGTGGGAGAGTAAACACAGGTGTGAGAGTGCCGCTGCAGACCCCTGCCCTGAAAGCCACCCAGGCAGACATGCTCAGCCTGCACTGTCACGAGCCTGAGACGTGTCATGGTCTGCTGTTGGCCTAGGACCTCACCACACCCAGAGTCCACAGCACTGAGATGCTACCCCCTACTATACCTCATTAAAACTCACGCTCAGGACACCTCTTCCCAACCCATCAGGCTCCCAGTACAGGGGTTACGATGGGTGGACAAGCGCTAGGCCTTCTAGACAGTGACCAGCCCCTGGGGAAGGCCCAGTCCTGCTTGGACAGAGTCTACAACACTCCCTTCTCCCCACTCGGGGTGCTCACCGGGGAGAGGATGTCTCCGTTGAAGCGTTTGATGGGCACTGGCCTGCGCCGATAAGCAGGGTCAGGGGGCCCAGGCCTTGGAGGAGCCCGGGGGCCTCTAGCGGGAGGCCTTGGGGGTCTCTTCTTGCGCCGCTTCTCCTTGCACTCTTCCTGCTGCCGAATCCTCATCAACTGCACACGACGGCGCTGCCGGCTGATGACCACTGTGAAGGGGTGGGCGGAGCAGGGTCTCAGAGGCCCACGTGCCTCATCTCGCCCAAGCCTCCCTGTCCCTTCTAACCTGAGGGCTCCAGCCTCCCAGATTCCCCTCATCTGAAACCTCTCCTCCTTTACTTTCCTGGTGTCCCACCTCCCAGATGGGACTTCCCACAGTTCTTTTCTTCCAAAGGTCTTCATGGAAGATTCCTAGACTGTAGGTGCCTGCTTCCCAGCTGCTACCCCTCTCCCAGTCTGGAGCCATAGGTGACTCACCTAGGCCAGCCATCATCATCTCTCGACTGGGCAACTAAACTGCCTCCTCCATGGTTCCCCTTCTATGCTTGCCTTCCCTGATGCTTTCTATACTCAGCAGCCAGAATGAGCATTCCAAATGCTAAATTAGATTATATCCTCCCTCCTTTAAACCTCCAGTGGCATCTCACCACCCATCTAATGAAATCCAGAGTCCTCATCACGGCCCACGGCGCCCACACAATCGGCATCCCTCACCCACCACTCCCGCCCGACTTCCTCAACAGGCCAAGCTCATTCCCCTCGCCCTTGCTATTCCCTCTTCTCGAGCTCTTTGCATGGCTGGCCCCTTATCCTTCAGGTCTCTGCTTAAATGTCACCTCTTCCAAGTGACCTTCCTTGGCCACTCTGTCTGTATTTCACATTACTCTGCACGTCTCTTTCATATCACTCCACACAATGGGAATTATCTTGTTAACTTGCATGTCTAGTGTCTGTCTCCCCCACCCTGAATGCAACCCCATCAGGGCAGGGGCCTCTTCTGTTTTGTCTCCGCTGCATCCCCAGTGCCTGGAATGGGCTTGGCGCAGAGCCGCTGCTCCATCTGTTGTTGTGGCAGGAATGGTGGCACTGAAGCTCCCGTCCCGGCACTGAAGCTCCCAGAGCCAGAGCCGGTCAGCTCTCTAACTCAGCTGAGGCCTTCCGCTGCTGGTGTGTACAGCTCCTTCCCCCATGCACCGTCGCTCAGACCCACCCCCCTCAAGCACCCATTTCTCTCACACCCACCCTGGCCTGTGCCTCCTCACCTTCCGTGTGGGAGTCCCGCTCAGCGGTCACCCGCCACTGCACCAGAACGCCCATCAGGCTGAGCAGGGGCCAAAGTGCCAGCAGGGCCCAGCTCCGCCAGCAGAGGGGGGGCACGGGGGCGGCCCGCAGACGCTCCACCGCGTAGCGCCCCAGCAGCAGCAGCTCGGCAAAGTAGTCGGCAGCCGTGGCGATGAGCGCGGCGCCCGTCACGGCGGTGGCCAGGGTGGTGAGCGGGCGGGGCCAGCGCAGCGTGAGCAGGGCGCAGAGCAGGCCGCCCCCCAGCAGCAGCCCCAGGGGGCCCCAAACAGAGCCTGGCTGGTAGTAGGGCGCGGAGCCCAGTAGGGCGGCAGCGGCGAGCAGTAGGCCGAGCAGCAGCCCTACCAGGAAGAGGCCCACGCTGCGCACCAGCATGGCCACCAGCCCGCAGAGCAGCCCGATGCCCAGCGCGATGCCTGCACTCGCCCCGGCACTCAGCTGCGTCTCCAGCACCCGCTCTCGGTAGCACAGCAGGAAGATGACCACCGAGCCAAACAGCAGCCCAGTGAGGAAGAGTACTGCCTTGAAGCAGCGGTAACCTGGAAGCGAACAGCAGCTAGTGAGAGACCAAAATGAGGTCACTGGGCTGGAGGTAGGAGGTCAGAGGGGTCAAGGACAAGGAATCCCAGGGGAACCAGAGGCAGGACAGTAAGATCAGAGAATTGGGGGTCATTGGGGTCCTGAGGGCGGCAGTGAAGGGACCACTGGGGTCAAGGAAGATCAGAGAAACAGGTCATCGGGAGTCACCGGGAAAACAGACAGTCATTGAGATGAGTGTTGGATTTTTGAGATAGAAATAGATCACTGGAGTCAAGAGTCACTCAGTAATAGGGTCATTGGGGTCTTTGGGATCATAGAGGTCAGAGAGAGAGGCCACTGGGGTCACAAGTGGATCAGCAGTAGAGTCACTGGGCTCCTTAGAGAGAGATTGTTCAGAGCCATGAGGTATTTGGAAGTCAGAAAGAACTTGAGAGGTGAGGTCACACGGGTTCAGAAAGATGGGGTCTTTTCATGTCAGGGGAATTGACAGATGTGGAATCACTGAGTATGAAACAGTTTCTGAGCGAGGGTAATATTGAAGCCAGAGAAATGGAATCACTGAAATCGTGGTGGGGGCAAACAGACAATGGGGTCATAGGGATTCCCCTATGTTAGGAGTAATAGAGGGAGTCAGAGGGATGGAAGGTAATGAGATAGCTGGGGGGTAATTAGGGGTCACTGGGCCTTACAAGGAGTCATAGGGGGTCAGAGAGGATTATCGGGGGAAATAGTGGTGGTGGTGTTTCAGAAAAATGGAGATTATAGGGCCATTAGGCCCATTAAGGGTACCTGGAAGTGTGAGGGACTTGTAGATCCTGGAAAGCTGAGAAGATGGAAGTCAGAGACGGGGGTCAAAGGGTCAGGGAGAGCCAAAGAGAAAGGTCATAATGAGGAGAGTCCGTTCTAAGAATGAGGGAAGCATTGGAGTCCAGGAGG